GCCCGGCCCGGCCCGCGTTCGCGCCTTTACATCTCAGCTCAAGCTTTGCTCCTTAGAGAGAGGTGAGAAAAACCACCGAACTCCTCTGACCAGTCGCAGCTAAACTAAACACACCGTGCGAGCAGTGTCCCCCCTCCCCGGGAGGATAGTTGGCTGATTTTACACGCATCGCCGATAGGCGATGGTAGACACGGTGAACGCTAGTTTTATCTTTCTAACCTTGAGGGTTAACCATTTAGCTATATTACTCTTGGAACGGTGGACAGCATTTAAAAAAAAAAATCAAACCTGTATTTACACTAAATGTAACAACAAAAAAATCCACCATTAAATGTTCTCTATTTTATTATAGTAAAATCGTTTTCTAGCCAAGTTTGACAGGGTAATTATGCAGAAGGGGTACAGCACGTTTTTAAATGAAGATGTTCAATGTTACCGCTCATAGTTAATCAAGTCCTATTTTAGGTGTTTTCACGGTTCATTTTTGACGAAGCTGGATTAAACGTCGTATTTTGTATATCTCTTCCCGCTTCCACATCAGAGGCTGAATTAGGACAAATGGCTTCCTCGGGCATTAAGATTCCCTTTTCCACTTTATTTGCCTGGTTTACCCAGCGATGACGGTGGCAGGCATGGCCACCATCATCGTCCCACAGTGAACGTTTCCGTGTCCACTGGGAGGAATACACACAGAAGACGGGTACGCATGGCTCACTTAGGGAGTCTCGCCACGACTCTGCCATTTTCATGCCTAAATGCTAATTGTGGGAAACACACCATCCTTGGGGGCCTCGTGCCAAGGCGGGCAATTTTCAGTCTTCTTGGAAAACACACCGCTGTTACTATGGTGTGAATCACAGGAAAGGGAATGGACCAGGGTGATGTTTGTACAGCTCCTTCGATCAGCAAGGGGCATCGAAGGGTAGCTTAGCCGGGTGTTGTCACTGAGCAGAGACGGCCTGGGAGACCGCTTAGCCGGAAGCATCCATTAAGGACTTTGAAATGGGGTGCAGGGCAGCCAATGGGGCTCTCTCACTTCTTCCGAAGGTCCTGTCGCCTCTCTCTGACTCCATCCTGGCCGAGAAGACGGTGATCGTCCTGGACGACCGTGTCACCATCGCAGACCTGGGCGTGCAGCTGGTGGCTGGCTTGTCTCTTTCCCTGCAGCCTCACAGGACGGAGAGAAGGGCCATCGTCTCGACAGTGACCGCCCAGGACGTCCTTCAAGCCCCACAGCAGGTAAGGTTCTGGGGTCCTTAATCACTGGTCAGCAAGACCGCTTCTCCCTCAGCGGTGCACTCAGAGCTGGGGCTGTGATTCTGGAAGCTTCTTCCTGTTTCTCATCCAGTCTGTTCTGTCCCTAAGTGCTCGGTGGCTCACACACATTTTCCTCGTATAAGCTTCTACACGGCGACCACACACCCGTGTGCCACCTGCTTTAGAGCAGCCTTGTCTGTGCTGGATCGGGACCAGAGGGTCACGCTCCACATGTGTCAGAGCAGGTGGTTCTTCATACCCGGAAACTGCTCCATCGCTGCTCAAACAAAATGGCTCTAACGGGCACCAGATCGCTGCTGTTTGTTACAGTTATCGTCACCTCTACGATGCTCCTCCAGCCTTAGACTTCCCGCGTCATCTGCAGTGATGCCGGAGCGCTGTGCCTTCTGGGCCGGCCCGTCTCGTGGGGCAGCTTTCCACAAGCACTTCCGGCCAGTGTCTGTTTGCTTCACCTGTGCTGGTTTCCTAATAAAAAACGTTCAGAGTGATATTATCTGGAACATTAGGCGGATGACAAGTCGCCCCTGAATTTGATTCAGATCAATTGCCTCATCCTTCAAAACGTTTTCAGAAAGGTCAAAGTCAAAATTCTGCTGTATGGCATGCGGTAAATTAAGGTATGCTTTAATGCGTTCATTAAAGCGTATTATTTGTTTTCCACATCAGGGGCCAGTCGCCTCTTACAGATGCCCGTGCGGGGCACGCCGAGAGATGCGCAGAGTGATAAAACGTTGAAGCTTCTTTTTCTCGGTTTATGTGCTTAAGTAACATCACATAGGAAATTGTGTTTACATCCACCCATCTGAAGGAGCCTGATTGTAACGTGACGCTGTGGTTTCGTTTCTCTTAGGAGGCGATAGTCAGTTCCTGGATTTTGTTCAGCGATGGCTCGGTGACGCCGTTAGACATTTACGACCCCAAGGATTTTTCCATTTCTGTCTCGTCGCTGGATGAGATGGTGGTGTCCGTGCAGGCCAACCTACAGGCCGCGTGGCCGGTCGTGGTTGCAGAGGGCGAAGGGCAGGGGCCCTTGATCAAAGTAGAGCTGGTGAGGGGAAGGGCAATGTCAAGGTCAGCTTCGGGGCTGGCACGGATGGACGCCCAGGAGGCACCAACGACATAGAGGGTGTGGGTCGGGAACACACAGACCACCTCAGCAACGCCATCGAGCGGGAAGGGGGCCGGGACAGAGCGGTGCAGGGACTGTCCCAGCACGGCGCCTCTGCTGGCCGCGAGGACAGGGCCGGCCACGGCACAACCCCGCGGGCTCCCGCGGAGAGAAAGGAGACGAAGCGAGGCCCGGACGCCATCACGAGCTTCCCCGCCCCGGGGAGGCTGCCGGACCCCAAGGCCCCCGGGGAGCTGGCCGTGACCTCGCGGGGGCTCACCGACCTGGAGATCGGCATGTACGCACTGCTCTGCGTCTTCTGCCTGGCCATCCTGGTCTTCCTGCTCAACTGCGTGGCCTTCGCGTGGAAATACAGACACAAGAGACTGGCCGTCAGCGAGCAGGGCCACCTCCCCCACTCCCACGACTGGGTCTGGCTCGGGAACGAAGTGGAGCTGCTGGAGAACAGTGTGGCCATCGGCGTCGCTTCGGAGGAGGGCACGGCCGCGGCGGACCGGGGGCTGCAGTTCGAGGAGAGGAACTTCCTTCTGAACGGCAGTTCCCAGAAGGCTTTCCACAGTCAGCTGCTCAGACCCGACTACGTCTATGAGAAAGAAATGAAAAACGAGCCCGCGACCCCGTCGGGCCCGAAGAGGAAGAGGGTCAAGTTCACCTCCTACACCACCATCCTCCCGGAGGACGGTGGCCCGTACACCAACTCCATCCTGTTTGACAGTGACGACAACATCAAGTGGGTCTGCCAAGACCTGGGGCTGGGGGAGCCCCCGGACTTTAGAGACTACATGGAAAGGCTGCAAGAGCAGATGTAGACTCCTTTCTTATGTTCGTATTCACCTTTATGCCTTCTGTTTTTGCAGTGGTTGGAGCAGTGAGTCTGATCAGCGATAGGGGGTGACTTCGCAGAGCTTAATCTGTGGCGGTCCGGGGGGGACCCCGTCCTCAGCAGGTATCCGAGTCTGGAGAGCTAGAGCCAGCTGGGTTTGAAGCCGGGAACCGTCTCTCAAAACAGCCACCTGCAGGTCCTGGAGGAGATCTAAGACGACAGTTTTATCTGCTGCCTGGGACCAGCTCCGTTCAAATATGACTAATCTGACCCCACGGATGCTGTGAGTCATCTCGTGACAAACGGCCGTGTGGGATTAAAGACCTAGTATTGGTTTTTCTACTTCTAGATCTTTTAAAGCACAGTGGACGTTTCTCGCCCTCGGCCTGAGATGGGTCGTACGTGGAAGACACCGAATGTAGCCGCCCTGCTTTGTGGTGAGCACTGCTCATTGATCTTATAGACATTGCCACCTGCCCGTTCCTTTGGCCTCCGAAGTTCTTCTCGAAACACGAAGAAGAGAAACGTCATTCTTTTCTCTGAGATCTGTTTGATTCACGTGAGTTTTAGTCACGCCATATTGTTTCCTGTTCGCTTTTCGTGAGGTTGGCCACATCGTGTCCTTTCCTGCGGGTCTGTGCGGATGTCAGGCTCCCAGGGCCCCCCAGCTTTGTCACTTAGGGGCCACACCTAAGGAGCTTGCCCCCACGCGTCTGTCCTCCTTTTCGTGGTCAAGTTTTCTTGTATCAGACTGGGACACAGGACCTTCCGTAAAATCCTGATCTACCATGAGAGAGGCCATCACGTCACAGTTCTCTCTGTAAGCTTACAAACGCCGGAGGAAGGGTGTGACCCACAAACATTTATTTTACCTTCTGTGTGTTGAAGATTCATGGGGGAACTCTTGAAGAGCATTTCTGGGGGAAAAAAAAAAAAGAACCTCAAAATAGCTGTATTTATACAAGTGTTTTGTGGTCAACACGATTTATTATCCAAACCGAAAGCTAAATGTAAAGTTACTATACATGCAAAGGGAATGGCGTAGGAAATAACTTCGGCTTAAGTGTTCCATGTTACCAGAACAAAAGATAATTTTTTAAAAAAAGTAGGATGATGTTTCAACTTAGCAATATATAGAAATCCATCCATAAAATGATTCCACTCCCCCCACCCCGCCCAAAATTTAAAATATCTTCAGTCATGACTCTGGCAGAGCTAAAACCATACCGTGTGTGTGTACAGGTGGAGAAAAACAATGGGTTCCCCTCCAAAATTCATAAAAATAAACAGCCATTTCAGAGCTCGGGAAGCAGCGATGATGAAAAACCAGAGCTATTGGAAAATCACATTGGAGAGAGAGCGGGGCAAAGCACGATTCCTGCAGAATTTTTAAATTAAAAAAATGCCTTTCGAAGAACAACGCGAATAACGGCCTCGAGCAAAGCAAGAGTTTCAGATCAGGAATCCGCGGCCGCGTTTTTATCGCGACGGGATAGTTGGAAAAATGGACACGGGACCGGCTTCCCTGAGCCATCTGCAGCTCCGAGGAACGGGATTGTAAAGGCCCAAGTAGCAAGGACGGGCAGGAGGTACCAGGGGCGGGTCCTTGGCGCTGATGACGGAGCTACTCAAAAGAGAGGCGACGGGCGGATCCTTTGCCGGTGTCTGTGCTCGGGGACGTGACAGCCCAGCCCCCTCCACCGTGACGTGGCAGCCACGGGTTCTGCCCCTGGCTCTCGCCCGCAGGACCCCGGTGCAGACGTGACTCCTGACACCGGCCTGACCTCCCGAGGCTGCTGTGCCGTCGATCGTGTGTTTAAAGGGCGGGTCAGGAACCGAAGCTGATGAAATTCTAAAAACCTTTCAGTTTTGCTAGGAGACCCAGGCATGAGCTCCCAAAGGAGTTTACAGAGAGGTGGCCGACACCTCGCAGGACGGGCTGCTCAGGGA